CCCTCAACTTTTCAACCCAACTTCCCTTGGTTTAGCAAGGACTGCATAAAGACCCTAAGCATCTGGGAACAATTTAATTCTCTGAAGATGCACTAATAATTGAACGTGATACCTTCACAATCATTTTCCCGAGTGAAAAATAAAGACCCTCCCCCTTTAAATAAATATTCAGTAAAAAAAACAACATGGTGACTTCCAAGATCCATCGAGAGCTACGTATCTGAGCATGAGCAGTGGGTAAGGCACAATGCCAAATGCTAGGTTTGCCACCAACACGAAAGATGATCTACAAAGGTGAGATCTGTTCAAGTACCTTCAACAAGGAGTCCTAGACTTCTCCATAGGGAGACCACGCCACGCATAGAAATGCATCAGGAGCCATCTATCAACACCTGCTTCTCAGCATGTGACACCCTGGCTGGAGTCACAGACTCCATGCGAAGTCACAGACTACCCATGGCGTATCACCAGCAGTATCAATCGGGTGCCATGAGTTGGGAAATAAAGCAGTAAACATATTTGTGCTACCTGTATCTATATGGGTATGAGATTGGGTTATCAAACCGTACTGTCACCAAGAAGGCAAAAAAAGACATTTCTTAGATATTGAATTTTATATGTGCTATCAGCTTGGCTCCATAGAAGCAAGTCATTTGATCACTAACAGGATCGGGGGCATTAAAAACTTTGGGTTTGCTTTGCTACTCTTGTGGCAACTTCAAACATTATTTTGATGGTGATATACAATACTACAGCACACACAAAGAAAGAAACACAAAGTATCATAGTAAAATACAATCTCAAAATGCTTAAATTTTGTGACAGATCACTGTGGATTGCACAGTGGAAAGTATGAACCTATGCTCTCTCTCTTTCCCTCCCTCTCCTTCCCACTCCCCCACCCTCTCTCTTTCCCAAGTTCTCTCTCTCTCCCCTCTCTCAGCCATTAACGTATATTAGCAGGCAACAAATTCAGTTCCAGAAAAGGAAAATAGCCAAGCCTCAGCCTCAGCCTCGGAAGAACAAACTGAGATCCCAGAAGCAGTTTCCACACTGGAAGGAGATGTGACAGCTCAGCTCACTGCATCAGGAACCTCTCCCCCATACACACACACACACACACACACACACACACACACACACAACCACAGGAACCTAATACCCACCAAGCACCAGAACACACAGTGTGGAGAGCTTCAGTCAGTAATCTCATTGAACTCTCGTGGCAATGTGATGGGGCAAGGACTCTTGCTTTCATCCCACTCTACAGATGAGCAAACTAAGGTTATAGATGTCACCAGTAAGGAGCAGACCCTGGTGTTTAGCTTCATCAGACCCCAGCTCCTGGCAGCATCCACTGGAGTCTGGCCATCCAGCCTCCCCCAGATAGAAGAGGATTTGACTTTCATATGAAATACCTCCTCCTCCATGCACACACCCCCTGGCCCTCACAGCTTTTCTCTGAGACCTGCTCAGGGCCACACACACAACTCCCTCGTGATGAACAGGTCACCAGGAAGAAGTACTGAGTCTCCTCCCCAAAAGAGAGTTGACACCATTTGTGTTAAACTGGTAGGAACAAGTTTGCTGGGAAGAGGGACAGAGGCTTTAGGGGTCCCTGGGAAGGTGTGGCCTTCTGATTAAAGGTGGAAGTCATTAGAGCTCCAAGCCCGGAGTGTTCAAGCCCGCAGCCATTGCTACACTCAGCTGTTGAGTGCTAGGACTGGTCCCAATTACCATGTGCTATGATACATCACACACCAGATTTTAAAGACTTACTATAAGCAATAAGAATGTAGCATATCACCTTAATAACTGTTAAATCAATTTCATATTGAAATTGCAATATTTTTGATATACCATGTTCAGTAAAAATCATTAAAACTAATTTTCCCTGTTTCTGTTTAATTCTTTAATATGGCTATTAGAAAAATAATTTTTAAATCACAATATTTTTTGGTGTGTGTGTGTGGAACTGGGGTTTGAACTCAGAGCCTTGTGCTTGCAAAGCAGGTGCTCTATCACTTGAGCCACATCTCCAGTGTTCATTTTGCTCTGGTTATTTTGGAGATGGGGTCTCGTGAACTACTTGCCTGAGCTAACCTTGAGCTGCAATCTCTCTGATCTCAACCTCCCAAGTAGCTAAGATTACAGGTGTGAGACACCGGCCTCAGCTCTATTAGACAACATAAGATAACCTTTGTGGCTTGTGTCACATTCCTATCAGGCAGAGCTGGTCTACACCCTTCCAGAGACCTTTGATAGTCCTTTAAGCCTAAAATGGAATCCTGTGGCCTGTTTGCTTATCTTCCCTGTAATTCTCCTTAAGTGAGCCGAGCCAAAGGTCACCCCACCTGGCAGGCTGGGGGAGTCCAACCAGAATTGTCTTTCCAGAAGGCCTCAACCAATGCCGAGGAAAGGGTGGGAGGTCTTCTTCTGCCCACCAGCGCCTCAAATACAGGGAAGGCCAACCTTCCAGGGCCAGGGAAAAGCAGGCTCTGAACCCAAATGATCTACATAGAAATTGGGTCATCATGCAAAGGCCACTTATATAATTAAAAAATTTGGAGAAGCCACATGAAAAATACTAAACAGAAATAAGTGCAATTAATTTCAACAATACATTTTAACTCAGTAGATTGAAGATACTATCATTTCACATATAAGCAGTATAAAAATGATTAATGATGTATTGCATATTCTTTTCTTCATACTAAATCCTCAACATCTGGTGTGTATTTTACACTTCGTGTATACACATACCCCTTCCCACGGGGCCAATGGCTGCCATATGGACCATGCTGTTTCAGAGCAAAGAGAACAGAACCACTGCAGAACTGGGGACCCAGAACTATGAAGACTGGTCAGGCACACATTGGCCACCAAGATTCTGTAAAGAGGTTTGGTGGCAGGAGAAAAGAAACAACTCTGTAAATATTTAAACTGAAAAATCTGTGCATGAAATTATCCTACAAAGCTAGTCACTAGGTGATATGACTGCAGGCTCCTCTTTCCTTTATACTTTTCTATACTTTACAAATGTGCGAGAAAAATTATAATTTCTAATGCAAATTGAGAAATTGTAATTCAAAAATTCAAAAACATGGAGCCATGAAGTAATTACTGGATGGGCATCAAATGCAGATTAGATCACATCCATTGGGCAGCACAGCCCCGCACTGTGCTGGCCCAGAGTCACCAGAGACACGGTTGTGAGGCAGAAGAGGCAGCTGGGAGTCAGGGGAAGTGTTCAGACTGGAAAAACAGGTGACCACGCATTCTTTCCACATGTGCAAAATATGAATCAAACCATTTATAAAACGCCTACAGCTGCTGGTAGGAGACACAGGTCTGAACTGCCCCTCTCTCTCTTTCTCTCTCTCTCTCTCTCTCTCTCTCTCACACACACACACACACACACACACACAGCACTTCAAGGTCTGGGATGTTGCAAAGCTTATGCACAGTGTTCATGTGTGCAAACTCTCCTTAGCTACTAAAGGATGAACCTTAAACAGCAACTTCTGCAGGACCACAGGTGACACTACACTTAGCAAATGCCGGCCCCCTGTGAGGGGGGCGGTGGCTCAGTTTAGTTAAGGCAAAGGTCTGTCCTCACCTTCCTAATCTGGAGATCTCTGTGGAACATGGTGCTGGGTGATGAGCCCTTCCTGCTTGAGACATTAAATTATTTGCCTTGAAAGGTAATAAGCTAGACTAACATGTGTCTGGGGCTGAGGATGCAGAGGGTCTGGGAGCACCTAAGGATGCAGGGCTTCTTTTGGCAGGGGAGGTGATGAAAATGTTCTAAAATCAATTATAACTGTGGTTATTCAACTCTAAGTACTCCACAAGCCATGGAATTGTACACTTTTTTTTTAGTGCTGGGGATTGAACAAGGGCTTTGAGCATGCTAGGCAAATGCTCTACCACTGAGCTCCACCCCCAGTCTGAATTGCACCCTTGAGCGAATTATATAGTGTATGGATTGTGTCTCAATAAAGCCATTTTGTCTTTTTAAAGGTAATAAGTTCAAGTATGAAAGCAGCTCACAATGATGGCTTTGAGTCATCCAGGCGCCACTTAAGTACATATAGGACAGCAGTGGCTATCTGCCTGCCTCTTAGGAGAGGGCTTGCGTATGACCACTACTCTTCTTTGTAAACATCCAGTACATCTGTGTCTAAGGAAACCGCCCAGGTCTTCCAAAGCCTGGAGAATGCCATTGACCTTTCTGGTCCTCCCGCACCTCTGGACTCATCTGAAGTGACTCTCAGAGCATCTTTCTCAGGAACCAGAGGTGGCTGGGCAAGACCCAGTGTTCTTTCTGGGACAATGAAAGAAAGCAATTGATAAGATAATGTGGACAGTAAGGATGGGTATCTCTTGCCATGTCCTATTGGAAAAGCATATTACCCAATGAAAGCTGTAAGTGGCCACTATACCAAAATCCACAGGGAGAAATGAGCTTCGGGCAGCTAATTGCTTGAGCTGCTTTAAATCATTTAGGCCCCCTCTCTCTAAACAAATCCAGCTTCAAAAGCAGCTATATCTGCACTCCCAGAAAACACATGACTGACCTACCTGTCACCCAACCATGGGGGACCAGTACACACTTCACGCAATTCCAGAGACTTAAATAAACTAAAGAACTTAAAGGAAGGTGGGACTGGTGGTGCACGCCTGTAAACTCAGCAGTTGGGAGGATGAGGCAAGTTTGAGGCCAGCCTGGGCTACACAGTGTGACCCTGCCACAAAAAATAAAATAAATAAGAAAAGAACCTAAGGAAAGGAAGAAAACATGTCAAACACACAGCTCCCATACCTCCAGCCATTTCTCTCATATTTTTCAGAATCTCATCACATCCAGAGATGGGAAACAGTATATTTGTGCCATAAAATGAGCTTTATCAAAACCCCCCACCTATTTGACTGACTTTTAAAAAATCAGGGTGCACATCACCTTTGAAGCTGAGCCCATGAGAATTTAGTTTAAGTACCTGTCAGTGCTGAGCTCTCCCAGAGCCAAGAGTTGCAGCTTCCGGTCTCCAGCTTCACCAGTCTCTGGAGATGAGCAGACACACACTTTCCCGTTCCCGACTGGAGCAGGGAGCTCAGGCCCTGGCTGCTTCTTGGCTTGCTGGTGCCCAGCCAGACTGTCCCTTTGCAGGGTGGCTGTGTCTTCCATCCCCTGAGCCCTGTCAGAGCAAACTGGGTCCTGACAGCTCCCTGGAAGCACTGAGTCATGAACCACACCAGAGAGTACCCTGGTAGTACCTGTTTCAGGCAGGTCACCAGAGGCACGTGCCCCTGTCTCAGCTGTAATCCATCTGATGTCACCCTCTGCTATCCCAGCAGCTCCTGCCACCTTGCCGGGCCCCAGGGAAGCTTCTGACACTTCTGCAGGTGGTGACTCAGGGGTGCCCTGGTGACTGGGGACATTTTGCATTTCTATGATGCTGGCATCAGCTTCAGGTTTCTTCTCTCCCCCAAGGGTACTAGGGGTCCAGGGCTCACTGTTAGCCTCAGGAACAGTCAAAAAATCCCCAAGTGGAGAAGAGAGGTCAAGGGCACAGGTAGATCTTGGCACATCACCTGAGCCTTCTATGAGAACAAAATTCCTGGTATCATCTCTGTGTTGAGTGTCACAGGCCAATGTTTCCAGCTGCTCTTTTCCAGAAGGAATTCTGTGACCTTGAATCATGGCCTCTTCACCATGGCTCTCAGGAGCCACCTGGAAGTCAGCAGCTCTCTCTACAGACAGCCCATGGGCAGCCACGGGTGAGGAAAGCCCTGAAGCTAATTCCTGCTCCCCTTGTAAGTGAGCCTGGCCTCCTAGACCTGGCCAGGCCTCCCCGGATTCCTCTAGCCTCTTGCTTCTACTCGCTATCAGTGGGACACAGGTCACTTCCTTTTCAACACTGGCACCTGGCAGGTTCTGCCCCAAGGCTGGCCCCATAAGACCTGGCAGCTTGTCTGAAGCTGCATCCTGGGAAACCAAATGGAAAGTCTCAGCCTCGATAGCCAGCTTTTGCTTCTTCTCCACCCAGAGTCCAGCAGGAAGTGCAGGGAAAGGGGCAGTGGCCACTCCTTGTGTCCCATCTAGAAGCTTCTCTTGCCTTAGCATTAGGGTGAGGTCCTTGCCCACTGCACTCCTCCCCACTCCTACCTTTTCACCAGGTTCACTCTGGGGCCGGTCGGTGGCCAGGGCTCCGAGCACAGACTGCTCAAAGATCTTTGTGATGTGCTCCCTGAAGTCAGGTAGCCCAGAGATGGTGCTGGTCTGCTTGGAGCTTGCACCCACACCACCTGATGCACCCCTCCTTGGATCTGGGGAAAGCTGCACTGTTCTCTCCCCACTACTCTCTGTCTCTTGTGCTGTGTCACCTGCCATGCCATCCTCATTGGCAGGGCATGCTGCAATCTCACAGGGCTTGGTGCCTGCATGTGGAGGTGGAACTGCCTGTTCCTCCCCTGTCATCTGCTTACCATCGGCCATAAAAGCCATGCTGGCCAGATAGGATGTGGAGTCCACTGGTCCCTCAGTGGTTCCGGTTTTGGGGCTTCCACTGTGGGCTTGCACTTTAGAGTTTTCCCCACCTGCAGTTCTTGGTGGCAAGAGCCAGCTGAGGGAGCCAGCAGACAGCTCCACAGAGGTGGCAGTTTCCTCTGTGGGGCAGGGGTTTTTGCCAGGTGCCCTAGGGTCCTCACTGGAAACACCTTCCACCCCACTGGCTTCTGCTTCCCTCCTGACAGCACCATCGATATGCAGGTAAGGGCAGTCAGGCACAGCTTCTTCAGGTGGCCCAGATGGCAGGAGTGTCTTTGAGTCAGGGACAGTTCCACACGCAGAAATGCCTGCAGTGCTTCTGAGAATCCCACCCAGCTCTCCAGCTGACAGCAAGGGATCCTGGCTCCCAGACACAAGCTGCTCGGCTTGGCAGGGCTTACCCAGGGCTGAGGTGGAAGTTTCTTTCCTGGAGGTAAGGCAGTGCTCAGTCTGAAGGAAGCTACCACTTAGAGAGGCTGCTGGTCCCTCTGGAGCCTGCTGCATCCCTGGCTCTCCTTCCCTGGTGTTTTCACCAGTCTCAGCAGCCCCACATTCAGCTACTTGCTCCTTGGCTGATGGGAAACTTCCAAGAGGCTTTTGAACCTCTGCATCCATCGTATCCAAGCCATCCATTTCCTCCTGTGAGGCTGGCCCTGGTTGCTGCCTGACTTCCTCGGTTTCATCACATGCTTCTCTCTCTGGGACATCCTGGGTGGGTGTGACTCTGGGGCTGGTAGGTTCTGGGGCTGATGGCAGGCAGTGAGCTGCATCCAGGAGCGCTACTGAGTCAGGTAGACAGGGCGGGGCCTCCACTGTGTTTCCACTTGCCATCTCTGCCTTACCAAAGCTCGGGGGTGGAGGTTGTACTTCATGTTGGCTTTCTGCCTTCAAAGCATCAACCAGCTCCAGCTGGGACTTGTTCAACCCCTGCCCAGCACAGCAACTTTCCTTTCCACCCAGGTTCCCTTCAAAGGAAGAGTCTTTTAAGGTGTCAGCTGCAGAAGCTGTTCCCTCTTGCCCATGCTCTCCTCCAGCAGGCAACTTCTGTTCTGTTATGGTTGACCCTTCTGGCTCCTCTGACGGAGTACCCCCCAGCACCATGTCCCTGGGAGATGAACTTGGAGACTCAGACAGACTGCCTTTGGGGAGCTCACATTGAAGTTCTGATCCAGAAGCCTGCTCCTGTCCTCCCTGAGTGGTCAAGTTCACATCCCGAGGTACATGGATTTGGGGGGAATCTGCAGCCTGGCTCTTAACACCTGGATCTCTTGGATAAGCCTCCTCCTCATTTGCAAGTGCTTGGGTCTTTTCCCTGAGCATCTCAAACAAGGAAGCTGCCAGGTGTGATTGGGGTAGCCTGAGATGGCTCTCAGAATATAGTGGGGGCTTCTCGGATGCAGATCCTCTTGCCAAGCTGTCTCCTGGGCAGTATGGTTCCCCTGGACAATCTTGCTTCCGACTGAGCATCGTGGGCCCACAATCCACTGCAGAATTCTCCCTATCAGGGGGATATGGCACATCACCGTGAACTTCCTGTCCAGCTGCACCATGCCCTGGCCCATGAGGCTGGCCTGGGGATGTCAGCAAGCCTTCCCCATCACAGCTGCAGGGCCCCTGTGGGGATGGGTGGCCCATTGTCTTTAGTTCTAGTGTGCTCTCCACTTGCTGGGATTTGGGTATGTCTGCATCAGGCATTTGCGGGAAATCTGATTTCTCAGATTCTAAAGCAGGAAGAGACTCCTTTCTTTCCAGTCTACCCCTGTCCTGAAGTGTATCGGGGCATTTAGTCTGCAATCTTGGCCTCTCATAGGTGGCTCCTTCAGGAACAACATGCTCACCAGTTCCACCTGGTGCCAGGGGCAGGACAGGTTCCTCGTTGTGGTGTTTGTGCAGTGAGGTGGCTGCATGGGCCACATGGGATTCAGGCATCACCTGCCATGCTGCCTCTGCTAACTGAGAGTCTGGCCAGTCCTCGTGCCCAGCAACCCCCTTTTTGGGTGGTTGTGCTGAGTCTGGGGTGGGAAGAATTCTGCTCTCTGCATTGCTACTTGGCCTTTGAAACTCCATCTTTGTCCACCGCGTCACTGGGCTTGCAGCCGAAGGCCTGAGACTCCTCTCTCTCTAGGCTCCTCAGATCTGCACCATTAGGTGCTCCTGTGGCATCTTCCCATCCCCTAGAGCTATCTCCAGGTGATCTTTCCTCTCTAGCCACAACAGGGCTTTCAGTGTCCTTAGGGGCCTCAGCTCTATCATTTGGCCCCATGTCATCCTTTCTGGTACTTTCACTTGAAGCTCCGAGTTGAGGAGAGGGACTTGCTGTGTGGCTTTGCTCCCTGTTCCAGAGTTCTGCCCTCTCCTGGGGGGAAGGAGTAGGAACCTCTGTGAGGCTCCCTTCTGAATGCTCTCTCTCTCTTCCAAGATCTGATGCCTTCTTCTCCCATCCCACCAACTCTGCATCTGCAAGCTCTGTGGCCAGGTCTGCAGAAGCTGGCATCTCAGCCTCAGAAACCATCTCCTTGGCCAACCAGCTGGGTCCCTCTGTGGCAACAGAAATTTGAGCTGCTGGCTGTGCAGTGGGACTTGCAGGAAGACACAGTTCCTCCATTTGAGTAAGTGGGGTGGGCTCCATGCTCAGAAGCTGGCTCCTGGAATCTGGCTGGCTGCCTGCTGCCACATGGACAACCTGACTGGACTTGGTTCCTTGTGTCTCTGTCTGTGTGTGCCTCCGAGCATCAGTGCCATCCAGAGCTCTGGCAGGGCTCAGTGGGTGACATGGCAGCTCTGTGTGCAGCAGATGTCTTCCCATTTGCTGCTGGCTGCTCTCCCAGGGGACAGCATTTGCTTCTGCTTCATGGGCAGCCCCTGAATTGCTGCTGGGGGGATGATAGGCCCTGAGAAATCCCAAGTTGTCTGCTAAACACTGAGGTGCCACCTCCACTTTTTCTCTGTCTGCGGCTCTTAGAACTGGATCTTGTGGTACCATGGTCTCGGGTTTTGGAGGACACTCCTCCAGGCCAACTGAGCTCTCCTTGCCCAGCCAGGTAGCAGTTGAGTCCCTGGTGGTGGGCCCTGGAGGGAAACAGCCATCTGCACCCTCTTTCCCTTGGGACTCGAGACCGCCAGGCTGTCCACCCTCTCCACGAAGTGGCCTGCTCCTTGGCTCCCCGGCAGGCTCTGGGGAAATCCCTGGCAAGTGGTCAGTGCAACTGGACCAGTTGTCTTCTCCAGCAGTGGGGATGATAGTGGCCATATTGTGCTGCGTAGAGCTGTCCCCTTCAGGGGTAGGTGCTGCCACCAAGTCCCCTGGGACATTGGGGTAAGGATCCCTCCTGGGGTACTGGGTGAGGGCACCATGTTCAGATGCTGCTCCTGGACAGGCCAAGCCACCTTCAGGGGGACACTCGGCCAAGGGCATAGAGGTCGAGGGGCACGCCTGCTCCCAGGACTGTGGTAGGCCGGGCAGAGGAGAATCTTCTGGCCCCTTGACTTCCTGGGGGTGCTTCCTTGGCTCAGTCACTTCCGGGGACACGATGCCTGGATCCCGACTAGCAGCACTCTCAGAAGCGGAGTGGGAGCATCCAAACCCAGCACTGCCAACAACGAAAATATTTCATGTTTCATTGGTTCACAAGGATGCAGAGGACAGAGCCACATCACAAGCAGAGTCACCCCACCCACAAAGGCCACCAGGAGCTTCCACCACACTCACATGCACATCAAGGCTCTCCACGAGGAGCCTCCTGCTCCCCCTCCCACAGTCAGTATACATGCCCTCGCTACCTCCAAAAACCAAGGCAGGGAGTCACAAGCATTCAGTCTGGAGCATTTCACGCTGGTCAGCAGGGAAACACGAAACTCATGTGAAAATGCAGGACACCCAGGAAGTTTTTTATAAAACTTAACCATAAAAGGAGGATTTGGCCACTCTGGGGAGATTACAAGGAGGGTCCAAGCATGCCTTGGGGGAAAGACACAAGTTGGCAAATCTGTGCTTTGACATAGAGAGCTATTCTTGAATATAGTTAACTTGATTCTTCACACTTAACAGGTGCTACAGTGCGAGGTGTAACCCAAAACTCATTTCTCTTTAATGTGGAATTTCTGCTTGTCACCAATACATGCCACTTGAGAGACCTTATACCTTCATGCCCATATTTTTTTCTTAATTGAACACTCTTAGCCTGGCAATGTATGAGAAAAAAATTTAAAACCTATGAAATGTGCAGAAAATTTGGAGGACTTTGGCTCAGATTATGGAGCTGTCTCATCCAACTAACCAGTTATTGTAAAATTACTTATCACATGCTACATTTGACTACGTGACTCAATCCTATTTAGATTTGATTAAGTGCATTTTTATTTTATAAATAACATATGGCCAACACAAAACATGGAGAATGAAGGAAAACCATTCCATATGTGCTTGTCATTTTCAGTATTCTGATGGCTTTCCTTCTTTTTTCTATACAATTTCTTGGGGGTGCAGTTTTTGTTATTTTACACGCTTATGAGTCTATATACTTGTTATGAGTATATTTTTTCTTAAAGGTTTCATAGGCAGGAAAAGAGCAAAGGAAGTTTATGGACTCTTTCTATAACTGTTACATGTATACATATTCATGTGCACACAGACCTACGGGGTTCTGGATATGGTCAGAGGATTCTATTCTCTATATCAGCCACTGAAATCCCCATCTTCCATGTAAGGCAACTCATATACAACGGGTACATACGGAGGGACAGTAAAAATATGTCTATGGACTGAGTTGTGTGCCCCTCCCCTTAGCCTCAGGTTTATGCCCCAGCCCCCAATGTCACTGTATTTGAGACAGAGCATTTAGGAGGTGAAGTTAAATGAGGTCAGAGGGCGGGGGCCTAACCCAATAGACCTGGTGTCCTTACAAGAAAAGGAAGTGACAGCAGGGATGCATGCACAGAAGACACCATGAGAAGGCACCTTCTGCAAGCCAGGAAGAGGGTCCTCACCAGAAACCAGCCCTGCTGGCACCTTTGCCTAGGCTTGTAGCCTTTAGAACTGTGAGAAGTGTTGTCAAAACCACCCAGGCTGTGGAATTCTATTATAACAGCCCAAGCAGACTAATAAAATAGGCATATGGGTATCCACTGTCCTAACCTTTCAACATTTTGAGGTTTCAAAATAAAAAGTTCAGGAAACAATGGGTAAAATCAGTATCAGCACTTGTTAAAGATTCTATCATCAAACCCTGTGACAGCTGAACATGATGGGTATTTCTGCTGCCTTTGCAGAAGAGAACAGGCAGAGCAGAAAGGCTAAGCTTGGGCCTCAACTGAATGTATTCCTACTTATTCTGTACACGGCCTCCTAGAACAAAAACGTCCAAGGAAGTCATGGGTTTTACCTGCCCAATCCAGCCTCTCTACTAAGTCCCTTGCCACTGTAGAAGACATCACTTGACAGCCTTCAAAGAGATGTGTACATGTCACCACAGCGGTTATATGACAAAGGACTGGTGCCTTAGGGCTCAAGAGGGAGCTGGCTATGGTCTCAACCAGCTTCACATTTTCTGATCCAAAAGCAGAATTGACAAGGGCAAAGAAGAGAAAACCCAGGGGGTGAGATATCCAAACCCCTATAATGGGCACTGAGGGCAGACAGGTACCCGTCCTGGCCCAGCACTGGTCGATGCATGCAAAGCCACCTGGGGTTTGGTTAAAGCTCATAGGCCTGGCCTTTGAGTGGTCCAGGAGAGAACCCGAACTGCCATGGTCTGTTCCCAACACCTCTTCACTCCCCACCTGGCTTGCTCTTCTTAACAAGTACTTTATAATTCAGCATGTCCCACCCATCACTGGGTTGAGCAGTTCAGCAGGTGACAAAATGAATGAAGTGCTCCTACTTATGTCAGACAGCTCAAGGATTTGGGGATACGGCCTTACCAGCCCCCTTTAACACAGTGGAAATGAAATAAACAAAGCCACCTCCTGTTGGTCTCAGACAGGAACTGCCACGTTGGGGAGAGCATAAGGGCTTCCCTTCAGGCTGACTGAAGTCATTATCAACTGGGACAGGATGACGAATTCACTCTGTTTTGGCACCTTGCAAACTTGTTTGTTCTTATCAGAGAGCAATCAGAAGTGAATTTTCCACTGAAGTATGGGCCACACAGCAACTTCTCCCAAGTAAGAACCCAGACACTGAGCACCAGCAAACTCTTTGATTTTGCATCAGAAGCATTTTTTAAAAACCAGACTAAAGTCATTCACCAGGAGCAGATTTGCCTAAGGGCAGGAAGAATTCTAAGAACTGGTCTGTTGAGGGCTCGGCATTAATTAAGCTTACATAATGTCCTTTTATGCTTCGAGATTGAGTGGGATAGACGGTGCTCACAGTCTGAGGGAGGGTGCCCAGCAAGAGCCCTCAGTGGAAGCCTTTCAGCCCTGGGGGTGCTGCCTCTGAATCTGAGGTCAGGAAGGACATGAGGACCTCAACCTACTTTTGGTGCAGACCCTCCACACACAGAACCCTGAAAGGAGCAGCCTGGGGAGTGGAGGCCCAGGAGGAGGGGTGATTTGCTGAACACATGATGGGGATGCAGAAAAGGCCCTCCCCACTGCTCTGGAAGAGATGACCACATTGAGATGGACTCCTAAGCGCACAGTTCTAAAAACACACACAGCAATGCTGAACTGGAGGAAGGAGGGGCTGTGAAACACAAACAAGACTGCTGCCCTGCTGGGGTTTAAGGAGACTGGCAAAACTGAAGCAAAGTGGTAAAGGTGGAGTCACCAAGTTCTGAATGTTCATTAACGCCAAGGGCATGGTAAGCACTTCAGGTTATGATTGCACTAATCCCCACAGCTGCCTCGCAGAGGGGGTGTCTTCCATGGCATGCGTGAAGAAATATTCCCAGAGAGGTTCAAGACTGAACTGTAAGGAAAGAGGTGCTGGTACAAAGCAAGATCAAGGTCTGTGGTGGCTGCTGGCTCCAGGATCCATTTTCTGTGACTGCTGCCTGCACCAGCCTCTCACCTGGACAGGTGTAGCACCCCTTCTCCCATCCATCCTGTGCTCACTCATTCTAGTCTACAGGCTTCAGCCAGAGCAATGGCTTAGAAATATCATCCTGGAGACCTCACCAATGGGCTGGCTTTGCTGTCAGCTATGGCCTAGTCTACCTTTCCTGCCCCACCTCCCACACATAGCTCACCAGCTCTGCATCTGCCTGGAGTCCTCCTGTTCCTTCCCAGCCCTCACCTCTCAGCGCCTCTCCAGCCTTGGTTCTCAGACAGAGCTCTTTCACAGTCCCACCTAGCACTAGGCACCGTGTCCGTCCACATGGTGGTGGCATTGCCCTACCTGAAGCTTAGTCCTTGTCTTTTTTCAATAGTGAATCCGCAGTGCCTGGCATATTTCGAACGCTATGTTATTGAACATAGGAATGTATGAGTGAATGCAAAGATGGATGGATGGGTGGACGGATGGACAGATGGATGGACAAGTACAACTGACTCCAAATACTAAATATGCATCAATGCTCTCAAATCATGGCTTAGGAAAAGTCTTTCCTTTTCTTCCATACAATCAGCATCTCCAGGATCTATTAGCCCATATCTTACAGATGAGGAAACTGAGGTCCAGAAAAGACAAAGTTCTTTTCTTCTATTACTTCTGTAAACAAATGTGGCAAGGCAGTACCTCTGAGCTGTAGCCTCCCTGCTCCTTGGCATGTCTCATGGGTTAAGAGTGCATGGCAAGTAATCTGTTACTAATTATACAGCACAGATGTCTGTGAATGGCTTCTTTTCATAAATTACTCTAATTCAAAGGATTAGATTTTCCCACATAACATCATCACTATTGCTCATTGCATTTTGATGCACTTTCCAGAAAATGAGAGCCAGGGCAGAGTGGCTTCGGGTGAGTTGGAGCAGCCCTGACACGTGCTAACAGTGGGGGCCACCATGGTAGATAAGGGGTGTTCCCCTGCTCCCCGAATCTTCACTTGGCCCTCAAAACCAGGAACTTTCTTGATACTTCTCAGCTTTCAGTAGAGTATGCTGAGGCTGTGCAGGACAGAGCCCTAAAGGAGCAATTGGTAAAGACATTTCAGGTGCCCTACAGAGTCTCCTAAGGGAGTCCAAACACCTCTCCTGGCTCAATGCCTAGGAGCTCACTAACCTTGGCAGCACAGCCACCAGACTGGGCCTTACATTTTAATCCAGTTCTCGCTCTCTTTGCTCATTCTGTGATAGAAAAACAAAGCAAACAGGCTAAAAGAATTTATTTGTAGAATCTAAAGTTATTGGGAAAATGTGGTGTGAGTGTGTGTGTGTGTAATGAGTTAAACCCACAAGTTCTTGTCATTCAGCTTACACTTTGCCATATTCACATGTCACTTTCCTTTAATTTTTTTCCCTTTCTTTTTTGACTATACTGGGATTTGAACTCAGAGCCTCACGCTTGCTAGGCAGGCACTCTTACACTTGAGCCACTCTGCCAGCCCCTCCTTTTTTATTATAAGACAGGGTCTTCCTATGTAGCCCAGGTTGGCCTTGAACTTCAACCTCCTGCCTCAGTCTCCTCAGCACTAGTCTTATAGGAATGCAC